CCACAGCTCTGAAAACATTGGTTTTGATGGTTTTTACCACAGTTCTGAAAACATTGGTTTTGATGGTTTTTACCACTTTTGCTTTTATAGAGGAACAGATTTTGGAGGTCCTATTTTGCCATTCCAGAAGTGCTACCTCTGTAGGTTTAAAAAAATAAGCTTATTTCATTAATTTAATTGGCCACGTGCAGTGGCTCACACCTGTAATCCCAGCACTTTTGGAGGCCAATGTGGGCAGATCACTTGAGGTCAGGAGTTCGAGACTAGCCTGGCCAACAGGTTTTAGTGGAAACCCTGTTTCTACTAAAAGAAAAATTACAAAAATTAGTTGGGCGTGGTGGCAGGCGCCTGTAATCCCAGCTACTCGGGAGACTGAGCCGAGAGAATCCTGTGAACCTGGGAGGCAGAGGTTGCAGTGAGCTGAGATCACACCACTGCACTCCAGCCTGGGTGACAGAGAAGAGTCCTTCAAGGTAGGTAGGTAGGTAGGTAGATAGATAGATAGAGATACATAATTTAATTCATCTATTGAACCTTATTTAAAAGTTTTTGTTATTCAGAAAGAAAGTTTAATCTTTTAAAAGGGAAGAAACCTAGGTTTCCAAATATCTTGGATTTTCATGGCTGTAATTTCTTGATGGTGAACTTCTTAGTGTGACTCTTAAAGATGTTACAGGAGCCATTTGGGAATGGTAGTGAGCAGTTGCTCATGACACGCAGCTGTCACCAGTGCAAACTTGTGTCTCCATAAGTGTTTTATCCCCAAAACCAGGACTTCGTGTTCCCAGTGAAGTCCTTGAACCCAAGTTTTGTGTGACGGGGGCCGTGGTCTGGCTCATCACGGCTCTTGGTGCAGAGTAGGGGCTCCGTGCATATCTGCTGAGTGTGCTGAATTCTAGCTAACAGCAGAGAATGTATTTTTCTAACTTACTGGTATTTTTTATTGTTATTGATGTGTGCAGGGTGAATTTGGAAGTGAAAAGAAAGCTGCTTTGCGTGAAAAAGAGAAGACACTTTGGCTTCAGAGTGCGCAGGCACAGCCTTTTCACCAAGAGGAGAAAGAGTCTTTGTCTCTGCAGCTTCAGAAGAAGAATCACCAAGTCCAGCAGGTGTGTGGAGTGTGCCTTTCCCTTGTGATAAGATGTGTATAGCATAAAAATCATTTTCATCTTATTTCAGTGCGTAGTTCAGTGGCAGAAGTGCATTCATGGTGTTGTACATTTACAGTGTTGTGCATTCAGTGACAGAAGCGCATTCATGGTGTTGTGCTTATTCAGTGGCAGAAGCACATTCACGGTGTTGTGCTTATTCAGTGGCGGAAGTGCATTCACGGTGTTCATTCAGTGGCGGAAGCGCATTCACGGTGTTGTGCTTATTCTGTGGCGGAAGCGCATTCACGGTGTTGTGCTTATTCTGTGGCGGAAGCGCATTCACGGTGTTGTACATTCAGTGACAAGCGCGTTCACGGTGTTGTGCATTCAGTGGCAGAAGCGCATTCACGATGTTGGGGATCTAGTGACAGAAGCGCATTCACAGTGTGCTTATTCAGTGGTTGGAAGCACATTCACGGTGTGCATTCAGTGGCAGAAGTGCATTCACAGTGTGCTTATTCAGTGGCGGAAGCGCATTCACGGTGTTGTCCATTCAGTGGCAGAAGCGCATTCACGGTGTGCTTATTCAGTGGCAGAAGCACTTTCACGGTGTTGTGCTTATTCAGTGGCGGAAGTGCATTCACGGTGTTGAGCATTCAGTGGCAGAAGCACATTCACGGTGTTGTGCTTATTCAGTGGCAGAAGCGCATGCACGGTGTTGTGCATTCAGTGGCAGAAGTGCATTCACGGTGTTGTGCTTATTCAGTGTGCTTACTCAGTGGTGGAAGTGCATTCACGGTGTTGTGCATTTAGTGGCGGAAGCGCATTCACGGTGTTGTGCATTCAGTGGGAGAAGCGCATTCACGGTGTTGTGCTTATTCAGTGGCAGAAGCGCATTCACGGTGTTGTGCTTACTCAGTGGCAGAAGTGCATTCATGGTGTTGTGCATTCAATGGCAGAAGCGCATTCACGGTGTTGTGCATTCAGTGGCGGAAGTGCATTTGTGGTGTGCATTCAGTGGCAGAAGTGCATTCACGGTGTTGTGCATTCAGTGGCGGAAGTGCCTTCACGGTGTTGTGCATTCAGTGGCGGAAGTGCATTCACGGTGTGCATTCAGTGATGGAAGCGTGTTCATGGTGTTGCACTTATTCAGTAGTGGAAGTGCGTTCACGGTGTTGTGTGTTCAGTGGCGGAAGCGCATTCACAGTGTTGTGCAGCCATCACCACCATCCATCTCCAGAAGTCTTCATCTTGCAAAACTGAATTCTGTTCCCATTAGACTCTCACTCCCCATTCGCCCTCCCTTGGCACCATGGCTCACACTTGTAATCCCAGCACTTCGGGAGTCTGAGACAGGAGGACCACTCCAGCCCAGGAATTCGATACCAGCCCTGGCAATATAGGGAGATCCTGTCTCTACAAAAAAATAAAAAAATTAGCCATGTGTGGTGGCACGTGCCTGTAGCCCCAGCTTCTCAAGAAGCTGAAGTGGGAGGATTGTTTGTGCCTTGGAGATTGAGGCTACAGTGAGCTGTGATTGTGCCACTGCACTCCAGCCTGGGCAGCAGAGTGAGACCCTGTCTCAGAAAAAGAGATCTTTGCCTGCCCGGCAACTGACTTTTGTGAATGACCAAATACAGTGACTTATTTCAAATTGCTGTTTGAGCGGTGGATCTCTGATGAACTGGCCCCTTCCCTCCCCTTGCCTCAGGTTCCACCTGGAGATGTTTGTGTATTCTTTTGTAAATGATTAATAATGGAGGAAAAACCATATCAATAATTTTCATCTTTAATCAGCACCTCGTTCACCTTTGCCGTATTTTTATTAAATTTGCAGATGGTCCTTGGCCTGTGCTGGGGCCGCCTCGACCGCTGTCAGTCGAAGGCGCTGTGAGTTGAGGAACGTGCCGAAGTGCTTTCGCCCCATCGCCAAAGTCCGAAGTCAGACTCTTGAATAGGGAAATTATGTTGAAAGTTCCTTACAGCCATTTACTTTTAACCAAATTGTTTTAACTAAAGCTTTAACCATTTTTCCCAATAGCTGAAAGACCAGGTTTTATCCTTAAGTCACGAGATAGAAGAGTGCCGCTCTGAGCTGGAGGCGCTGCAGCAGAGGCGGGAGCGGGAGAACCGAGAAGGCGTAAACCTCCTCTCCATGCTCAAGGCTGACGTCGACCTGTCCCACAGCGAAAGGTCAGTGTGTCCTTGGCACCAAGGCTGCCTTGTGGCTGCCAGCACCCACTGGGTCATGCGGATGCCATTGGTCTCCACGTCTCCTGACTGGGTGACTGGTGCCACCGTGTACACTGGCTCCTGGTGGACAGGGACCCGGCTTCCTTCTTCCTCTCACTTAGAAAGATTGTAAGCACTGGGAAGAACTCACCTGCTGTGTCTCATCTCCCAGTCCCCATTCCCTCCTCCCACCCTGCCTGCTGTGTCTCATCTCCTCATCTGGCCAGATTAAAACCAGCCATTATCTGCCACACAGAGCCCGACCCCTCCCCTTTGGTGTCCGCGTCCTTGCAGTGTGTCCTCATCCCCGGTGTGGGGTGCAGGCCCACATGTCTCGTGGTTCCTGTGCTTTGGACTGTGTGCGAGTGTCATGCCTCATGCATCTCTCTCTGTCACGCGTGTTTCTGAGACTGGCCCGAGCAGGGGCCGTAGCCCTGTCCATTCCTTTCTTTGCTGGGAGCCGGTGCCTAGGGAGCACAGTCCCAAGGGCTCTCCCAGGGCGGGTTATGGGTCTGCTTACCACGGGTCGCTTCCCCTGAGCGCACGGTTTCGGGCCGCATCCTGCCTTGGTGCCTCCTCACCTGCAGTGATGCTGTCCCACAGGCTTGACTGCCTTTTTATCTTGTTTGGGGTCTTGAGAAACTGTTTGCTCCTCTGACACCATGTAGGTTTTTCCCAGGTCATCTCACAGGGTTTTAAGTTTTGCTTTTGTGTGACTCTGGGGTGAGCCTGCAGCTCTTCTGTTGTTCTTGCTTGCACCTGTCTGGGCAGTGGACTCAGCAATGTGGTGGCAAACACAGCCTCCCCTCGGGTGCACGTCCTCCCTGTCCACTTGTGTGGGTCTTTGGCTGCTCCCATTGGCGTGTCCCTGCCTAAGGCCTCTGTGTCCTGCTGCTCCCCCCATCTGTTTGTCCCCATCCGAAGCCTCTGGGTCCTGCCGCTGCTCCTGTCTGTGTCCCCACCTGAGGCCTCTGGGTTGTGCTGCTGTGTCCTGAAGCTCTGGACTGGTTTGGCTCCGCTCTGGAGACCACCCAGGGTCGGGAGACCTGGTCGGGCTGATGGGACCCTCTGAGCTTACAGCTGTTTCAGGAGCATTAGTGTTTGTCATGCTGAGGGGCTGTCCATCTGTGCAGGTCTCTCTTTGTTCTTTTCATCAAGTTTTGTGATTTTTCTGTGAGGACCTTGCCTTCTCTAGCAGTTGGCTGTGGGTGCCTCGTAGCTTGGTGCTGACTCTCGAGTCACCCGGGTCAGTGGACGAGCGAGGGCTCTAAACTGAGGGGCACAGAGGCCAGTGGGGCGACCTGTGCTCTGAACTCGAGGGGTGCAGAGGTGGGTGGTGGGCGGGGCAGCCCCAGGCTCTAAACATGAGGGGCACAGAGGTGAGCCCGTGGTCCCTGGACACTGGAGAGGCTGCCTGTCCTGAGGTGGGGTGGCTGCAGACTCCCTGATGCCTGCAGGAATTGGGCATTTTGGGGGGTGAAAGTGTGCCGGGGAGCAGGTGGCATTCTCTCTGTCAAGCCCCTCCTCAGGACTCCCCCTCCCTGTTATTTGCCCAGAGTCCCAGGTTCCTTGGGGCCTGCACGATGTTGCCTCCTGTTCTCACCTCACAGTCCCCACGAATGAGTCCTCATGATCTGCTCCACAGGGTAGGGCTCTCTGGGGACAGAGCTGTGAACAGAGTAGAGGGCGGGCTGGCTGTGTAGGCACCGGGTCAGTGTGTCTGTCCTTAGCGGTGTCACAGTAGAGAGGGCTGCCCCTAAACCATAGTGCAGAGAGCGAGGTGTAGAGGGGCCTGTGGCCTCAGGAACCCCTGTGTGTAAAAACAGAAGCATCCCGGCCGGGTGCGGTGGCTCACGTCTGTAATCCCAGCACTTTGGGAGGCCGAGGTGGGCGGATCACGAGGTCAGGAGATCGAGACCATCCTGGCTAACACGGTGAAATCCCGTCTCTACTAAAAATACAAAAAATTAGCCCAGCGTGGTGGCGGGCACCTGTAATCCCAGCTACTCAGGAGGCTGAGACAGGAGAATGGCGTGAACCTGGGAGGTGGAGCTTGCAGTGAGCCGAGATCGTGCCACTACACTGCAGCCTGGGCAACAGAGTGAGACTCCGTCTCAAAAAAAAAAACAAAAACAAAAACAAAAAACAGAAGCATCCCAGACTGCACGTCCACGAGGCCTAGAGAGAGGCTGGGAGACACCATGCTCCTCCTGCCACGCTACTCCTGTGAATGTGTGGCTGAGGCGTGACTTGGTGTTGGACAGACATCTTGTAAAATGGCCGACTGGTGCAGCCTGTGCCCCAGGGGAGAGACAGAGCCTGTGTTCTGCTCCTGGGTGATTCACGCTGTGCGGCCACATTGCACACCTGCAGGATGGGTTTGCTGTCTTCCTAATATGATGCCTTTTACAAATCAGAAATGGCATCAGGAAGACCTCACCTAGGAAGCCCGTGTCCCTGAATGGGCTCCATGTGGTTGTCTTGTCTGTGGCCTCAGCTTCCTGTGCTTACACAGGCATGAGGATCATGTCTTCCGGCCCCATGGGGACAGGCGGCCGTGGGCTGAGGTGTGCAAACTGGTGGGCGGCCCCTCAGCAGCATTCAGGGTGGGGGTTCTCACGCTGTGACCGGCTTGCCTGATGATGGATGTTTCCTGTCTCAGAGGGGCCCTCCAGGATGCCCTGCGCAGGTTGCTGGGTTTGTTTGGAGAGACGCTGAGAGCAGCCATCACCCTGAGGAGCCGTATCGGGGAGCGCGTGGGGCTCTGCCTGGATGACGCGGGCGCAGGCCTGGCCCTGTCGGCAGGTGAGTGTGCTGGGACCAGCCGCCCGGCCCTGTGCTTGAGGCCCTCTGCGGGCCTGGAGCTCTCTGAGAGGAGCCTCTGTATTGGGCGATGCTCTCGGGAGCGCTGCTGTCCTGGTTTCCGGCTAGTTCCCGCACTTACAGAAGGCCGAGACTGGGGTCTGGGCTCAATTTGCCAGCTCCTGTGGACGTGGCGCTGTCTCGTCTCCGCTAGGGCGACGTTCTGAGTTCTGTGGCTTCCGTATCGTCGTGGCTGCCGTGGCTGCGGCCAGCTTGCTCGCTGAGCCGTGTGTGCCGGCGTCTGCTCTTCTTGTAGCTCCGGCGCTGGAGGAGACGTGGTCTGATGTCGCCCTCCCAGAGCTGGACAGAACTTTGTCTGAATGTGCAGAGATGTCTTCTGCGGCTGAAATTAGCAGCCACATGCGTGAAAGCTTTCTCGTGAGCCCAGAAAGCGTGCGGGAATGTGAGCAGCCCATCCGGAGGGTCTTCCAGAGCCTCAGCCTGGCCGTGGACGGCCTCTTGGAGATGGCCCTGGACTCCAGCAGGCAGGTGAGGCCAGGCTCCCGGGGTCCTGTGGAGAAGTGAACAACGAGTAGCTGATGATGCCACACGAGCCTGGTGGATGCCAGTGCCAACCACACTCACACGGGTTTCTCCCCAAGGAGGAGGCTTTTCTAAACCAGATCCTTGAGGAAGTGGGCTTGCTACGGATGAGAGAATCTGTTTATTTAATTTGGATGATAAACAGGCCCATCTCCTTTACTTCCTGCACTGTTGCAATTCCACGTGGAGCGTTTTCATATTTAGAGATTATCACTAAGAAAGGAAAATTTTAAACCCTTTTAGAACATTTTAGACAATTAAAAAAGATGTTAAATAGGAATACGTGGAAAGCAATCAAAGATCCTTTTTTCGGCCAGGCACAGCGGCTCACTCCTGTAGTCCCAGCACTTTGGGAGGCTGAGGTAGGAGGTTCACTTGAGCCCAGGAGTTTGAGCCAGCCTGGGCGACATAGTGAGACCCCATTTTAAGTTAGCCAGGCATAGTGGCAGCATCTGCAATCCCAGCTCCTCAGGAGGCTGAGGCTGCAGTGACCCATGATTGCACCACTGCACTCCAGCCTCAGTGACAGAGCAAGACCCTATCTTAAAAAAAAAAAAATTCTTCTGTGCTAAGTTTTGAGTTCAGAGGTGACTCTGGGTCTCTTAGCCTGTAGATGGCCTGGGAGCCCCAGACTGGACACAGTCGCCAGGGGAGTGTCTGGAGGAAGGGAGAGGGGCCCAGGGCTGAGCTGGGAGGCCGGGGAGACGTGCTCATTGGAGACCGTGGCCACAGTGTCTTGGAGGGTGGCTGAGATGCGCTCAGGTCCCATCACCCTGGCGTGGCCCTGCCTGGGTGGTGACGGCCCGAAGGGTCTGGGGGTAGAAGTGGCGTTTTGTTGGTCTTAATGTAGCCTTACATCCAGATCAGAAATCCTATTTTTGATCAGGAGTTTTGATTTGCAAATGTGTTTTAACAGCTGGAAGAAGCACGACAAATTCATTCTCGTTTTGAAAAAGAATTTAGTTTTAAAAATGAGGAGACAGCACAGGTTGTCAGGAAGCACCAGGAGCTGCTGGAGTGCTTGAAGGAGGAGAGTGCAGCAAAGGCAGAGCTGGCGCTGGAGCTGCACAAGACGCAGGGTGAGCAGCACGAGGCCTCGGGGCACCTGGAGCACAGGAACGGGGAGCAGGCCTGGCCTCACCGAAGAAAGGAAGCCTTCGGGATAGGGTTTTACAGTGAAATGTAAAAACAAAGCCAACAGTGGGAGGCACCCATGGTTTGGGAGGAACGGGGTGGTCGGGAGCTGCTGTGGCCAGCAGGGCTGTTGGGGGCCTACAGCTGGGTCCTGGAAGCTGCTGGCTCTTAGCTCTGCTGCTCTCGGGGACAGCAGCCCCGTCCCTCCCTCCGAGCAGGCCCTGCCCCTCCCTCCAAGCTGTCCTCAGTTGCACCCGGGACTGGCTTTGTCAGGGTATCTGTGTCTCCCACAAAGGCACCCTCGAGGGATTCAAGGTGGAGACGGCAGATCTGAAGGAGACGCTGGCCGGGAAGGAGGATTCCGAGCACCGTCTGGTCCTAGAGCTAGAGAGTCTGAGACGGCAGCTGCAGCAGGCGGCCCAGGAGCAGGCAGCGCTGAGGGAGGAGTGCACCCGTCTGTGGAGCCGGGGGGAGGCCACAGCCACGGACGCCGAGGCCAGAGAAGCTGGTAAGGAGTGCGGGATATGGAGGTCGGTTCAAGCTGTGGGACGCGGATACAGCTGCCACGGTTTCCCCAGCTCCCAGGGACGCTCAGTGTCTCTAGAGGGTCAAGTGTAAACCAGCACGTAGCTTCTCATGGAATGTTGAGCATGGGAAGCTTGTGCGGGATCAGGTGAGGCATCCACTGGCTTTGCTACACTTTCAGAGAAGGCGGGTTGTCTGTTGGTCCTGTTGGTTGGAGGGTCCCCACCTCTGTGAGGTGGAAATAAGAGGAGTTCTGAGTTCAGCAGCAGGAGCTGGAGGCAGAGCCAAGTGCGGCAAACAAGAGCTACTTTAAAATTTCATTTAAAATAACCAAGTGCCTGACATTAACCCTTATTGGGAAAACATAGTTTTAACAGTATTAGTTTGTATCTTTTTGGGTTTTTAGATACTTTGTTCTCAAAGGTATTTAAAATGAAAATGGTCAAAACATAAGCTTAAAATCTCGAGCCTGCGCGGTAACTGTGTCCTCAGCAGCTGGTTCAGCTCCAGCAAAGGCTTTTCACGGGGCTGGGGCGTCCGCCCTCAGTCCCTGTTCCTTGCCTCCCCGGTTGCTGCCTCTGACTCTTGCTTTCTCCCCATGCCCTTCCAGCTCACACCGAGCTGGCCCCGCCGCCCACATGCCCACTCTGCCACCTTGCAGACGCCTTGCATTCGTGGATCTCAGGCACGTGGGAGGCAGAGGGGCCTGCGCTTCTCCAAAAGTTCCTTCCAGGATGGCTGTGGCCTCGGGGTCGTCCCTTCAGAACACAGATTGGAGTTAGAAGCTGGGGCATCGCAGGCACCACCTCAGCCGATTCAGAAATCTCTTTTTTTATTATTATTATTATTTACATTTTTCTCTTTAGAAAACAACCAACGTTTGATTTTGGTGTCCATTCTCATTTGCTGTCTTCTGTCTCGCTGATTTTTGCCCTCGTTCCTGTGATTTCTTGTTCCTATGGTTTCTTTTTTTTTTTTTTTTTTTTTTTTTGAGACGGAGTCTCGCTCTGTCCCCAGGCCGGAGTGCAGTGGCATGATCTCAGCTCACTGCAACCTCTGCCTCATGGGTTCGAGTGATTCTCCTGCCTCAGCCTCCCAAGTAGCTGGGATTACAGGTGCGCACCACCACACCTGACTAATTTTTTATGTTTTTGGTAGAGATGGGGTTTCACCATGTTAGCCAGGCTGGTCTCGAACTCCTGACTTCAAGTGATCTGCCTGTCTCGGCCTCCTATGGTGCTGGGATCACAGCCGTGAGCCCCGGTGCCCGGCCAGCTCTTATGGTTTCTTGCTGCCTTCGTTGGGTTGGACGCTCTCGGACACGTTTGCTTCCTTTCACAGCACGTGGGGTTCAGGTCGTGCCTCCTGGCGGTGCCCCACGCTTTTCACCTGTGGTGCTCATGTTGACATCTGGGTCCCACAAGCTTGTAATTTTTGGCCCAGGGAGCGTTTTCCAGGTGGAAGACGTTGGTCCGGTGGGATGTTTTAAACTGTGCCTGTGATTGTGCCCACACTTTGTCTTCTTCTTTTCTTGGTTTATTTCTGTCATTCCCATTTATCCTGTTTCTATTTTTTATATAAATTTCTGATGGTGAAGGATTAGTCTGGTGTTTTTCCCCTTGTGTATCTTTTCTTGTCCTTTTATTTTAAGTCTTTTTTAACATTCTGTTTTAGTTGTGCCTTGTATGGATACCATATTCATGACTCTTTTTAAAAAAGCCTATGTGTGAGTATCTTCTTTTGGTCCATTTAGCCAATTTTTTTTTTTTGACACACCTGCTGGTATTGGGCCCTTCCTGCTGCTCTTTGTGTTTCCTTTTCGCCCGCCTGCTTGGCCTGCTTGACCTTGCTCCAGGCTGGATTTTCCTTGGCCAGCTGTGAAGTCCTCACTGCGGTGTTGGCTGCTGCTGGGCTCAGGTCAGTGTCATCTCCCCATGGGCCTCTCAGCCCTGTTGCCCCCGTGGTCTGTGTGTCCACAGAGGGATTGCAGGGGAACCTTGAGGGCCACGAGGGCCTGGAGTCTCTTCAGGTCCCCTCCTCTGCCAGTGAAGTGGTGCTGGAGACACGACTCAAGATCCCGTTTCTTTTCCTTTGAGGCCCTCGTTTTCCTGCATCTCCTCAGGATTTTTCAGGGTGTTTTCAGGAACGTGTCTGATGTCATGCGTTGCTCTCGGCATCGAGGGCCTGCATCTCTGCCCTGGCAGTGCTGTTGCATCTGGGCGTCCATTGTCACTGTTTCTCACGATGCTTTCTCTGCTTACCCTCTGCTGTCCGGGGGCAGCCTCATGGTCAGGCCCCTTCCTGTGAACTCTGTTGCCCCGTTTCCAGTGTCTTCGTGCCCAGCCAGCTGGCAGCTGGGCCGTACTCCACCAGGGGAGACCACCTGGTGTTTCACTGCTTCGAGCCCTTGGACTTCAGCCAGTCACCTCGTTTGTCAGGCCTCCTGGCAGATAAAGGGGTGTGTGGCCTGCATACTGTTGAACGGCCCAGTGAGGCCTGGGCCCTGTGGCCAGCGCCCTTGTGTCAGGTGCCTGTGTTGTGCCCTGGGCCTGAGCATATGGACTGAGCACCGTGGGGCTTCTTCCCAAGGCTCTGGTGGCCCCTCTGCTGCTTTGCCTCTGGTTCACCTCCTGCCACGAGTTCTGGCCCACCAGGGAGTGTTGGGACAGGTGGATGAGGGCCCTGGGTGTCCACAGCCTGGCTGGGCTCCCTGCAGACCCCAGGATTGAAGCTGAGGCTCACCAAGGGCCCTGCAGTGGTAGGCACCTGGCATGCTGGGAGTGGATCTCATGGAGCCCTTTCACAGGCTCAGGCCAACTTTGTTTTGTCACTGGGAAATTCTTGTTGTTTCTCTGGGGTCCTCTTGGTTTCCTTTCATGTTGACGTTGTTAACCCTGCCCTAGTTTCTCACTCTGGTTTATTTTCTTTCCTTTCACCCTGGTTCTGCAGTTGTGTGACTCTGCGCCGGCTACCGGCATACCCACCACAGCCCTGAGCTCGCTCCCGGCAGGGCCTAGGCTCTGACAGTGGCGTGAACTCAGCCCTTGTGCGCAGCAGCCCTGCCTCGCCGTGTTGCGTGATGCCCCCTTCGCTGTGTGGTGTTTTGTGGCCCTCTTCAGGTGTTGCCGTCTGTCCCTTTTGTTCTCTTTGTCTGCTTGAAAAGTCGATGGGCCTGCAGCCACACAGGCAGTGTGGGCATGGTGGACGCTGAGTCTGGAGATTGTTCAAGGCCAGCAGCGTTGCTCGGAGCCCTGCTGCTGACGCTGCCGTCACTGGTTCTAGCTCTCATATTCTCAGCTGCACGTTTCCGTTTCCACCAGTAAATGCAAACTCTTGTTCGTAGGCACAGCTGTCACTGCAGCACACAAGGACTCAGGTTTGTAAAGACAAACGAGTGATTTCTGTGTGATGTGCTGTGTGTTTGCATTGGATTTTGCAAATTATTTACTAAAGAAAAGTCCTTCAGAACTTCTGTGGCAAACAGTAAATACAGCGAAACTCTAATCTTCAACATTCATACAAATGGGTGGAGTTGTCCCATTTTAATGCCCCAGCAAAGCAGGAGCATTTCTCTAACGGTGGTTACTGCAGTGCCTAAGCTACAGTTTGTGCTGCTTTTCAGGAACTGATGCCTTGTGATAGTTGTAGCTGTTCTTGGGCTGGGTCCTTGCTCTGGTCTGCAGGAAGGCCTGGGCCCACCACATCCCCTGTGCCTGCTCAGTGTGGTATCACCTGCTCCGCCAGCTGGGATTGCGATCCTCCCGTGCCTCCCTGAGTCTGCGTGCGTGTCAGCAGGCACCCTGCCCCAGTGTGTGGCCTAGCGCCCTTGGCCCTGAAAATGGTGATGTTCTGGGCCAAGCAGAGCCCGGGTCGTGTCCAGGGCAAGGAATTGCAGTGGGGGGAGCAGCTGCCCTCAGGCCGCGCCGCGCGTCTTGGGCTGTGAATGGCATTACCGCAGCAGCATGTTTATAGCAGAGTCGCCATTACTGCTGACAGTGGCGTGAACATTTATTGAGAATGTTGCTTGCATTGGTCATGATAGTTTGTGATAAAAGACTAACAATTTTACAAATCAAAATGCTTTTTTGGAAGCTGGTGAAATGTCAGTTAACATGAATGAATTTAATATTTTAGTTTTTGGATGGCTTGAAGACGCCAGGATTCAGGCCGGGAGTGGTAGCTCACACCTGTAATCCCAGAGCCAGACTCCACCTCAAAAATAAGGATAATGAAATAGAGACTTCGGGATTCAGCAGCAGAGAGCCCCTTTTTCCAAGATACTTTTTCCTCTGCAGTTTCCACTTGGGCCAGGGCTTCCCCACCCCAGGTCTTAGGCTGATTGTGCTGCTAGAAGAGTATTTTTGAGGCTAGGCGATTTATCACAGACACACATTTGTGGCTCACAGTTCTGGAGGCTGGAAAGCCTGAGGTCAAGGTGCCAGCAGGTTCGGTGTGTGGTGAAGTCTAAGGTCAAGGTGCCAGCAGGTTTGGTGTCTAGTGAGGTACCAGTCTCTGCTTCTAAGGCAGAGTCTTGCACACTGAATCTTCCAGAGTGGAGGGCGGGATCCTCACAGGGCAGAGGCAGAAGGGCCAAGGGGGACGGCCACTCCCAAAGCCGCTTATTGAGGCATTAAAACTGCTGTGAGGGTGGAGCCCTTGCGGCCTCATCACCTTTTCAAGGCCCCTCCAATACCATCACTCTGGCAGTTAAATTTTAACGTGAATTTTGGAGGGGACAGAAATTTAAACTGTGGTACCCAGTTTGTTTGTTTATTTATTTATTTATTTATTTGAAGGAGTCTCACTTTGTCACCTAGGCCAGAGTGCAGCAGCGCAATCTCACCTCACTGCAACCTCCATCTCCCGGATTCAAGTGATTCTCCTGCCTCAGCCTCCCGAGTAGCTGGGATTACAGGCGTGCGCCACCATGTCTGGCTAATTTTGTATTTTTAGTAGAGACGGGGTTTCACCATGGTGGCCAGGCTGGTCTCGAACTCCTGACCTCGAGTGATCCATCCGCCTCGGCCTCCCAAAGTGCTGGGATTACAGGCATGAGCCACCCCACCCGATCTAGATTCGCTTTTGATTTACCGATGAGACGTTTGCCTTTCCCGTAGACACGTTACTCAGCACTGTCCATCGTCTCCTGGGACTGGGCTTAGTCGTGTGTTTCTGTCTGGGAGGGTGTAGTGAAGACAGAATTCCTAGAGAATCACCCACGTGTCACTCAGAAGTATTCTTCTCAGGCTTCAAAAATTTAGCCAATTTTGTTTTAAAAGATGGGCTTTTTACCCCGAAGTCATGTGACTTCATTTTCGGTGGGTTTTGACTGAGTCACCATCAGGAGGTGCACGTGTCGTGTTCTCTCTCAGTACAGCGCCAGCCTCTGAGGTGCGGGGGTTTCCCTGTGTCTGTGGTGTTTGCATCCTTAGCTCTCCGGAAGGAAGTGGAGGATCTGACCAGGGAACAGTCGGAGACCAGGAAGCAGGCCGAGAAGGACCGCTCAGCCCTGCTCTCCCAGATGAAGATTTTGGAGTCTGAGTTAGAGGAACAGCTGTCTCAGCATCGCGGGTGTGCCAAGCAGGCGGAGGCCGTCACCGCCCTGGAACAGCAGGTGGCGTCTCTGGACAAGCATTTGCGCAACCAGCGGCAATTCATGGATGTAAGAATTCTGAATAATACATTTTATTGCATCACTAAAAGTTGCCATTACAGCATGAACTTTCCAGATGGTTACGTAAGCTTCTGCAGTAGGATGTTGAAGAGGGCGTCCCACCCCTGCTGCACAGGTGTACCCAGGTCACTGACGCTTGGTGGGTGTCTTCTTGCCCACATTTTGTGGCACAGGCCTCTGAGGGCCGCCTCCCATGGTCTTGCCATGCTCCTTCTCACAGTCCCGGAGGCATCCCTTGGGGCCCAGGCTGGGTCTGTGCTGCGACTCTCACTGGCTCTTGTCCTCCCGCCTGCCCGTCTCGGACGTTCCTCTGTGTTCCGCGCAGAGGGCTGTTTTCTTAACTCCATTTTGCAAAGTGACTGTGATGAGGGGGATGTTTGGAGTCCTGAGCTGCTGGGTGGTTGTATTTGCACGTGCAGTGGAAGCCTGGGTGGGCCTTCGCTGCGAGGGGCACGCCGGCCCCGTTGGGGTGGTCCCAACACGCCGCCTCTCCTCCCAGGAGCAGGCCGCTGAGCGGGAGCACGAACGCGAGGAGTTCCAGCAAGAGATTCAGAGGCTGGAGGGGCAGCTCCGCCAGGTGGCCAAGCCACAGCCCTGGGGCCCTCACGACAGCCAGGTGAGTCAGCACAGCGTGCAGTGCCACTGGTTGCTGTCTTTTACTGTGTTTTTAAGCTTTAACTTTCTTAAAATTTTTGCCTTCCATGTACGTGAACTCGGCAGCAGGCACCGCTGGATGGAGAGGTGAGTAGGCGTCACAGAGATGGGCACGCCCTGTGCGGGCGCCCAGGCTCCCCTGTGCTCGCTGGGACTGTCCTGCCGCCCACTCGCTTTTCTTGCTCTAGCTTGGGCTGCAGCTATCTGCTTTCTCTTGTCTGAGGAAGCTCTAGTAGGTTCATTTAGTCTTTTAAAAAATTAATAGTGGATTCACACACAGTTGTGAGAGGTAAGACTCGGATCCCTTGTGCCTGGCACGTGGTTCCCCAGAGGTCACACCTGCAGAGCCGGAACGTGGCATTGCAGCCAGTATGGGCAGGGAGCCGATGACGCTGCAGCGCCTTCCGCCCCCCGGGACCCTCGTGTACCTGGTCACGGCCCTGCTGCTGTCCCTTCTCTGGCAACCACTCATCTGTCGTCTGTTTCTAAGACTTTGCCATCATCCTGATGTGTAAAGTGTGCCTGTCATCTTTGGGGATTGACGCTGCTCACTGAGCCTGACTCTGGAGATTGATCCAGGTTGCTGAGTGTAGCCATAGTTCATTCTTTCTGTTGCTGGGTGTTCCGTTCTTTCTTCCTTTTTTTTTTTTTTTTTTTTTTTACGGAGTCTTGCTCTGTTGCCCAGGCTGGAGTGCAGTGGTGTGATGTCAGCTCACTGCACGGTCCCCCTCCGGGTTTACGCCATTCTCCTGCCTCAACCTCCCAAGTAGCTGGGACTACAGGCGCCCACCACCTCGCCTGGCTAATTTTTTGTAGTTTTAGTAGAGACGGGGTTTCACCATCTTAGCCAGGATGGTCTCGATCTCTTGACCTCGTGATCCGCCCGTCTCGGCCTCCCAAAGTGCTGGGATTAC